GAGGCAGGGGGTTGGCACTCCAGTCTCTTAACCAGCTCTAGAGTTGTCTGTTTTAAGTTTTCCATGGCCTGCTCTCAGTGTACGAAGTGCAGTATGGGTGGAGTTCAACCTCTCAAACCTTTTCCACTTTCAGCTCAGCTTCAGCATTCCCTACAGATAATTAAAACCTTCTACCTATCAATACACAGCAAAAAAAATTGATGACCCTGATCCTATTGTATTTATCTGATCTAACTTCATTTGATGTGGTAGTGTAGTTTTATATTTTCTTCTTGCTCCATTTGAATATTTTCATTCACTGCCAGTATAAGATAGAAGCTGGTTTTTATAATAAACAATACAGTGACCAGGTTTTTTACATTTGAAATATAACAAGTAGCAAAAAGTGACCAACATCTGCTCAGTGATAGACTTTGATCTCTGAGGAACTCGATATACGGTAATACATTTGGCAAAATATCCTTGGGAAGCTACCTGGAAAACTGATTCAGTAATATGAGATACACTTGAAAAATAGTCAGTGAAAAGATATACAAAAACTAAAAATAAGATGCACAGATTAGAATAATTTGCATTTTTGTTCAGGCTCCGGTGGCCCACACCTCTCGTCTAGCTACTCAGGAGGCTGAGAGCTGAGGATCCTAGTTCAAAGCCAGCCTGGACAGGAAAGTCCATGAGACACTTATCTCCAATAAACCCCTCAGGACACTGGAAGTGGCACAGTGGCTCAAGTGGTAGAGCATTAGCCTTTAGTTGAAGACCTGAGGGAGAGTGCCCAAGCCTAGAGTTCAAGCCACACAACCGACAAAAAAAAAAAAGGAATACTTTGCATTTTTGGTCCATGTGTGTTTGTTTTTAATTCTATTTGTAGCTGTATGTTTCCAGCTAACATGTGGCTTAAAAGTTTGTTCATAAATTTTAAATTGTTACTTCAACTGGAAAAATAAATATATGGCACTTATATCTCTGATCCAATTCAGAGAGTCTAAAATTTGATTTTTCCATATTCCTTTTTTCAAACAATTTATTTTATTATTAGGTTGAAGTACTTGTACAAAGAAGTTACCATTCTACAAAACAATATGTGAATAGAAGATGTCTGACAACATTATCACCCATTGCTCCTAACCACCCCTTCTCTAACTTTTCTTTTTTTGTTGTTTAAATTGAGAGTAAGTGATTATATAAATTTCACATATGTCACAGTATTGTGGAACAGAGATGCTTAGTTGAAGTCAGAAACACATTTTCAACTTCAGAAGGCAAATTGTCATTGTCATGGTCTATAAAGTTTGTGAATTTTATGAGCTTTGTCAATACAAATCATTCCCTATTCCTTTTGACGACAGGTCTTGATATGTAGTCCAGCTTGCTCTTGAAATTGTTATGGAACCTAGCCTGGCTGGTCATCCTTTTTGAATTTCCCAAGTTCAGGTTGTATAGGTATGTTCCATCCTGTGTGGCTACATTACCCATTTTCAATTCAGAGTTCACTGATAGTTCATATGGCCGCATTGTTGTGCAGCCATCTCTTCCATCCATGTACAGCATGTTTCATTTTCCATGTATGAAGCTGTATAATCATTAGTAGGCAGCTCCTTTTCCTCTCTACCCCAGTCGCTGGAACCATCTTACTTTTTGGCTCTGTGAGTTTGTTCATCCTTGGAAGCTCAGTAAGGGAAATCATACCATGGCTGTGCTTTTATGACTGCTCTATTTTACTTAGCTTAATGTATTCAAAGATCAACCTGCTGTAAAATGTAGTAAACTTGTCTTTCTTTTCAATGTCTTTATCTATTCTTTTACCTGTGTCTGTCATTTGGTTCTTGTCAGTATTTGCTCTGAAGTGATTCTCTAATACTACTTCTCATCCCTGCTTTCTCTTCTGCTGGGTACAAATCTAGAAATAGAAGTGCTGGACCATATTCCTATGTAATTCTGTATTTAGTTCTTTTTAGCGCTGTCTATACCATCTTTGATTGTTTTACATTCCTGTCAGACATGCACCAAGGTTCAAATTGAATTCACATCCTTCCCAGCCTTTGTTACACTTTGGAAGGATATTTGTTGTTTTTATTTAAAACTCTGTCCATAGTAACATATATAAAGTAGTTATTTCTGTAGAATTTTTATTTGATTTCTTCTCCTGACTATTGATACTGAGCTTTGTATATTTCAACCAATTATTTGTAGATTATTCTAAAAGTGTCTTCAATCATATTCTGCATTTTAAAATCAGATTTTGTGTATGGCAATTTGTTGTACAATTTTTGCTTCATATTTTAGAAATCATTCCAATTGTTCGTGATATTTGGAAATATTTTCACTCATTCCATGCTTTTGCTTCTTTGTTGATCATGCCTTTTGATGGACTTAATCTTGTTTGGTTTTACATCAGGACTTTTTGTGTCCTATCCAAGTAGTAACTGTCAAGTCTAATGTCATGAAGCTTTCCTGCCCTCCACTCTTGTCCTCCTCCTTTCCCTTTCTCTCTTTTTCCCTCTACTCCACTCCTCTCTTGTCCTTTCTTCTGCCTTCTTTTCCCTGCCCTTTCATTCCCCTTCTGTCAGCCCTCCACTCATTCTCTTTTCTCTTTATGTGTCAGATGAGGACTTGCTGTGTTGCCACAATTGGTGTCTATCTTAGAAACTCATGTGCCACATCTACTTTAGCCTCCACCATGCTATTGTTGTGTAGTGCTGGAGCTTGAACTCCAGGTCTGCTTCCTCAGTCACTGTTGGTGCTGTCACTTGAGCCAGCTCCCACCTGTTGTCTAAAAGCTTAATTAGAGTTGTCTACCCCGGCTGGCTTCCAGACCTCAGCATCCTTCACAGCTGGGGAAGGAGAACAGTCTTGTGCCTGAAGCCCTGATTTTGTTTTATTTTTCTTGTCTGGAACATTTAACATTAACAACTAAGTATATACTACAATGAAACAAGATGATCATGTAGAACTAATGTTCAACTTAAACTCAAATACTTCAATTTCAAATTAAGTGTGGCATTTTATTTCTAATAATTGTAGTGTTCTTTTAACTATGGGAGAATTTGTTCACTCAGCAAATGCATTATGCTAGCACAACTCCATGTAGCAATAGTTTTATAATTAATTTACTGTTTTTATACAGAGAGATGAAAATTCCATGAGTCAGGTAATAAGTACATTCCTTCTCTTTCAGAATGTTGCGTTCCCTTACTCACCCTCAATCACTCCCTTTGATCTTTACTTATGTGTTGTTCTATAGTTTACTCAGGGCCAGCACACTTTCCTTGAACTTCTTCTGCTCAAGTCTAGCACTCTACCACCTGAGTCACATCTCCATTTCTAGTTTTTCTGTTCACATGGCACTGATGAATTGAACCCATGCATGCTAGACAACCACTCTGGAGTAAGCCACATTCCCAGCCCTAAATCTAGTCCCCTCTTTTTTGGTACAATTAATTCTTTGAACTGAAGCCTTCTGATTTGCCTGGTAATTGCAATATTTATTGATGCATATGAGTATTCTACATACATTTCTTTTAATAAAGTGATGAGTTTATATATTGGATCTTCATGCATTGTGAATCATATGGTGGTATAAGTTTTATTTCAACAAACTATTACAGATATTACATAAAATAGATGACCAATATATTCCTTTATACTTACCTACACATTTACCTTTTTAGTTTCTTTGTCCTACGTGTATATGTATGTGGACTCCTTTTGCTCTTCTCTTGAAGCACTTCTCTTGTAACACTCTTATAATGCAAATGTGTAATTAATCAATTCTCTTTCCCTGATGATATCTTCAATCTACATTTTTAGAAGAGTTCTTCTGCCTAATGGATTGTGAATTGAATGTTATTTTCTTTCAATTCTTCACATATATATTTCCCTTTTGTATGTTAGTCAGGATTCACCTCTGGTATTGGTAAGCACGGCTGACTTGGCCATCCAAAATCTCTCCTCTTAGCCTCTGCAGGCAAATTAGCACTCTTATTTCCTTCCAACTTGTAAATTTTTCTTCTGTATTTTTAGATCATATCCCTCTTCTAATTTTTCTCTGTCTTGCTTGTCGTGGTCCTTTTTTTCATTTTTTGTCATCTTGAATGTTCCTTAAGCCTCTACCCATCCTCCATCCTTCCATGAAGGCATATTTAAATGAAAATATAGTCAGGGAACATGGTATGCCCCTCGCAGCTATATTGTGGATTGTAGGAGGTGGGCCAAGTTCACAAAACTTCCTTCTAGCAGTTCTTTTTTACATAGGAAGGAAATATCAGGGTATCTATGACCATAATTCAGTATTTAGCACTTAAATTACAAAATAGTTAACATAGAATATTTATCTATGGGAGGTAAATTAGATCTTATAAGGGCCAATCCATCATTATCTACGTTCATAAGTACTGTTACTGCCTTTAACATTTATGTGGACACTTACTATTCATGAATCAATAATGTGCTATGTATTCCATGTGATGTCCTAAATGTGTTGTGATTGCTTATGACATACCGTGTGTGTGTGTGTGTGTGTGTGTGTGTGTGTGTGTGTGTATGTATGTGTTGGTTGGTTGGTTGGTTGTGAGGTTTGATTTCTGGACCTGAGCACTGTCCCTGAATTCTTCCCCTCAAGGCTAGTGCTCTACCACATGAGCCATAGCACCAGTTCTGCTTTTCTGCTGGTGATTAATTGGGGATGAGTCCCACAGACCTTCCTGACTTGGACTAATTACTTCATTCAAATGTGCCATTACAGAAGCTGGTGTCATTTGATGATGTGGCTGTGGACTTCAGCTGGGAGGAGTGGCAAGACCTGGATCATGCTCAGAGGACCCTGCATAGAGATGTAATGCTGGAGACCTACAGCAACCTCTTGTCCTTAGGTGAGCAAAAGTCATTTGAACATGCGAGATCAAAGGCTGTTTTCTTTTCTAAGTAGTTATATAAATATTTATGTTATTTCAGTAGAGGATTCTAGTCCGTGGGAATATAAAATTCCTGTCCATTTTTTCCACTTGATTATGTAACTGGAGACAATTTTATTCCCATTCTTCAAGAAATCTAATCAGCACTTGGACCCAAGATCTAAACTGCATTCCACTAATAGAAAGAGACTGTCTTCCTAAACTTGTGGTGATTTTTGTAGGGGCAAATATAGTCTAGAATAGAAAGTACCTCACTATTTGAGGTATGATCTGAAAATCACTAGTTGAAAGTGGTTATTTGTAATCAACCCTGATCCTGGGTGCAGTGGCTAACACCTATAATCTTAGCTTCTCTGGAGGCTGAAATGTGAGGATTTTGGTTTGAAGCCAGCAACTGCAGAAAAGTGACCATGAGGCTTTTATTTCCAAATCCCCTCACAATCTACAAATGTAGCTGGGACTGAAGCTAGCAGAATGCTAGCTTTGAGCAAAAGAGCTGAGTTCAAGCCACCCAATTGACAAAATAAGTTGAAAGCTGGGGAATATCAACCAGGGAGTGGATAAGAAATGAGAAACAAGGTTTAGGAGCAACTTTGTGAACATGATGTCTGAGACCTTACAGTAATGATGACCCAGCGTACCAATAGTTCTTCTCTACTTGTTAATAACAGGACACTGGGTTCCTAAACCTAAATTGATTGCCAAGCTGGAGCAAGGTGCAGAACCATGGATAAGAGAAGCCTCAGACAAGAATCTCACAGGTGAGATAAAGCATCTTGCATGGTGGTTTTGTAGCCAGAGTCCACTTGGTAAGTTTAATGAGCTGTACTGAGCAATAATGTTCCTAGTTCCCTGAGTCATGTGTGGCAGAGAACTAGGTGATCCTTTGTCTCAAGGACATGACAATCAAGAATTTACATGGAGACAAACTGATTTGGCTGTCCCAGTATAGTTAAAGTGAGCAATTTTCTTTTTCTTTGTAGAGATCATTCTTAAACAGAAAAAGGAAATGAGAAATGTAGAAAATGAGGTCTCATTTTCATTGAAACAAGGGCTATGCAGGTATGAGGAAATAAGGAGTATGCCAGGACTGCTATCCTGTGATGAGGGAAATTGCTTCTTGGTGATGGTGGAAGTGAGTGAGATTCAGAAGCAAAGCTTTGGGTTCACAGGGGATGACTACCTGGGTGGTGAGCTGCAGTATGTTTGGTCTTTAATGGTTGTGAAGGAGCAGAAGTGTTAGAAAAGGAAATTTGATGAGAATTTGACTAAGGGTGAGGGAAACCAATTTTAAAAATGCCACCAATCCCTAAAGTAATTCTTAGTGAGAAGTTAGAACTGAAGAGATGGAGGTATAAATCCTTATTCTCAGGAACCTTCCATGCTTAGCGGAAAGGCCAAGGGCTGTATCAAACACCCTAATGGTCCCTAAATCTAGACAGTATTTCTGTTCCTCACCTAATGGTTGAGAAGCAAAGCAGCAAAATATATAAATTATTTCCACAAATTAAAAGAAAAATAATAGCTATTCCCTTATGACCAAACCTCGACGGTATTAAAGGCAGATGTTTAGTACTCAGCTTATAGCTTATAGTGTGTAGTTGAATCATTTCAGTAATTAATTCCTTGAGAAAAACAGAAAAAAACGGAAACAGAAAAACATTATTTACCATTGTAAAATGTCAGTACTACTTTGTTAACTAATACATTACCGAGAAAAGCTTATATTCTGCATCAAAGAATTCCTGCTTTAATCTTTTAAAATCTCCTAACAGTTAGGATGCATGGAAATGCCTTTACTGTTACATTAAGGAATCTTGAGGTCTCATTTCTGTTTTTGTCTGTCTTTCTATATCTCATTGTAGATGTCCAAGAAAAGGAGTACAGGACTAAGACCAGTCAGGAGAATCCCTACGATTGTCTGTCTGAAGTCGGAGTCATGAATACTAACACAGGGGAGAAAAATGTGAAATTAATACCAACTTTTAATTTGAGATCAAAACCTAAGTCAGAGCTGATTAGGAATAATGGGAATTCCTTAGGGATAAAGACAAAGGAGTTCAGGCAGTGTCAGAACATGCTTCTCCATGGTGAGCCTGACGGGATGTGTGCCTCTTATAGTCCTGGAGTATCTCCTGTAGCTAAAGAATCTAACCAATATGGACATTCTTTCACCCGGAAGACACACCTTACTGTCCATCAGAGAACACACACAGGAGAGAAACCTTATGAATGTAATGTGTGTGGAAAGTCTTTCAGCCAGAAGACACACCTTACTGTCCATCAGACAACACACACAGGAGAGAAACCTTATGAATGTAATGTGTGTGGAAAGTCTTTCAGCCGGAAGACACACCTTACTGTCCATCTGACAACACACACAGGAGAGAAACCTTATGTATGTAATGTGTGTGGAAATTCTTTCAGCCGGAAGACAACCCTTAATGTCCATCTGACAACACACACAGGAGAGAAACCTTATGAATGTAACCTGTGTGGAAAGTCTTTCACTCGGAAGGCACAGCTTACTCTCCATCAGCTAACACACACAGGAGAGAAACCTTATGAATGTAATGTGTGTGGAAAATCTTTCACCCAAAAGACACACCTTACTGTCCATCAGACAACACACACTGGAGAGAAACCTTATGAATGTAACCTGTGTGGAAAGTCATTCAGCCTGAAGTCATACCTCACTGTCCATCAGAGAACACACACAGGAGAGAAGCCTTTTGAATGCATCAAGTGTGGGAAGTCTTTCACCCAGAAGACAAACCTTACTGCTCACGAGAGAACACACACAGGTGAGAAACCTTATGAATGTAACCTGTGTGGAAAGTCTTTCATGCGGAAGTCTAAACTTACATATCATCACAGAATACACATAGGAGATAAACCTTATGAATGTAATGTGTGTGGAAAGTCTTTCATCCAGAAGGCACACCTTACTGTCCATCAGACAACACACACAAGAGAGAAACCTTATGAATGTAATGTGTGTGGAAAGTCTTTCATCCGGAAGGCAAACCTTACTTTTCATCAGAAAATTCACACAAGAAAGACACTTTATGAATGTAACAAATGTGGAAAATCTTTTCACTTGAAGGCATATCTTACTGTCCATCAACGAACACACACAGGAGAGAAACCTTATGAATGTAACAAATGTGGGAAGTCTTTCACCCAGAAGACAACACTTAATGTCCATCTGACAACACACACAGGAGAGAAACTATACAAATGTAATATATGTGGAAAGTCTTTCACCCAGAAGACAACCCTTAATGTCCATCAGACAACACACACAGGAGAGAAACCTTATCAATGTAATGTGTGTAGAAAGTCTTTCACCCAGAAAGGAAACCTTAGGATCCATCAGACAACACATACAGGAGAGAGACCTTATGAATGTAGCAGGTGTGGAAAGGCTTTCGCCCGGAAAACATGCCTTACTATCCATGAGACAATACACACAGGAGAGAAACCTTATGAATGTAATGTGTGTAGAAAGTCTTTCGCCATGAAGTCACAACGTACTGCCCATCAGGCAACACATACAGGAGAGAGACCTTATGAATGTAGGAGGTGTGGAAAGTCTTTCACCAAGAAAATCGGCCTTACTTTCCATGAGAGAAAACACACAGGAGAAAAACCTTATGGATGTAGCTGGTGTGGAAAGTCTTTCATCAGGAAGTCAATCCTTAAATCACATCAGATAATACACACAGGAGAGAAACCTTATGAATGTATGGACTGTGGAAAGTCTTTCAGGTGGAAGGCAGCCCTTAACATCCATCAGATAATGCACACAGGAGAGAAACCTTATGAATGTAACAGCTGTGGAAAGTCTTTCACCAGGAAGGTATACCTTACTGACCATCAGAGAACACACACAGGAGAGAAACCTTTTGAATGTAACCTGTGTGGAAAGTCATTCAGCCACAGGGGAAACCTTACTGTCCATCGGAGAACACACAGGAGGAAAACCTTGTGAATGTAACAGCTGTGGAAAGTCTTTCACCAGGAAGGTATACCTTACTGACCATCAGAGAACACACATAGGAGAGAAACCTTTTGAATGTAACCTGTGTGGAAAGTCATTTAGCCACAGAGGAAACCTTACTGTCCATTGGAGAACACACAGGAGGAAAACTTTAGGAATGTAACAGCTGTGGAAAGAGTTTCACACAGAAGTCAACCCTTATTTTTCATCAGAGAGCACAACACAGGAGAGAAGCCTTATGAATGCAACAAATGTGGAAAGAACCGTCCACAGGAGGCCACAGCCTAGCATATAAGAAAATTCCCCCAAATGAAAAATCTCTAGAATGTAACAAGTAGGGAAAGTCTTTCATTTGGAAGAGAAGTCAGTTTGCAATAGAGAACCCACACAGGATACAAACCTTATCAAGGTAGAAATGTGGAATTCTTCAACCAAAAGGCACAGCTCAGGGTACATCATTGAACACACACACACAAGAGAAATCATAGCAATGTAAAACATGTAGAAAGTTTTTCAAAAATGTTCTAAGTACTCTCAGTCATTCTTCCCTGAATGTCCATCTTCTAAAATTTCTCAAGTTCCATTTCTAACATTCTCTATTGGGAGAGCTCCAAGAAGATGATTATGTCTAATTTCCTGTTTCATGAAATTCTAGGATGATATTTACCTTTTTCCTTTTATTTTGCTGTTAGTTTCATTTGAACTCATGGCCCTTTACTTCGCTTTGGCTTTTATTCTCAAGCCTAGCAGTCTATCCTTTCTGCCACATCTCTAATTTTGAGGTTTTTGTATTTAGTATCATGAGTCCTATCATTGGGAAGCAGTCTACTTTCTTCAAAGGTGTTTACAAAACTTATGTAAGTAAAACTGAAATGTTATAAATTAGGAAAATAAGTAGTTTCATAGAATCTATAAAGAAATTGAGTGATTTAATAGAATTTTGTAACATTTAAAAATGAGAAATATTTGAGAATTATGGATGAGTAATAAAGTTGATTTAGTAAATACTTATTTTATGTGGTGAAATTCAATAAAAGTGACATTGAGTCCAATCAGATTTCTTGTGGGAAACAATTTTCAAATTTTTCTGTAAACGTAGAATACCTTCTATAACATCAGTCTCTTCCACCCCTGGAAATGAACAGTTCTATAATTTTTATAGAGCTGGTAGAATTTGTCATATATTCATATAGTCTTTCACAACAGAATAGACAAAATACATACTTTAAGGGATAGAGGTATGGCTTAGTTTTTAGAGCATTAGCAAGTGAGCAAAAGTATCATGTACTGGCTTTGAGTCCCATTCTTGGAGCTTAAAAAAAAGAATATACACTTAACATTCCACAATCCTATGTGTTAAAACAGAATTCAGAAGCCCCACATGAACATGTCTCCATAGCAACAGCTTATGAGGACTTTAGAAACATACTTGAGAATGTCCCAATGATTCATGAATGTGAACCTCTTGGCTTTGAGTGACAGATTACAAGGGAAGGCATGAATCAGCAGGTCACCAGGGTGATTACATTTTGTGTGTGTGTGTGTATGCATATCTACGTATGTAAATACACATATATGTCACTACAAATTCATCCAGTCACCTGAATCCATCCATAACCCTCCATAGCACTATTCATTTTGTCAGATCTTTTCCACAAGCATAGGCTCTACTAACCAGCTTATCTCAGATGCAGTCATGGTGCAACAGAACATAGACCCATATCAGGACCTAAATACAGGCACATAAAGGAGGAAACTCCTTTACTGTATGATCAAGTCCTCAAAGAAGGGATAGCAGTAAGGTTATTTAAATTATTTGGAATTCAAAACCCAAGAAATGAAAACTCTTACAAAGAAGAGGAATAAAAGTGAAGGAATTTCATTGATTGAAAATAAAAGCAGGGCTGGGAAGGTGGCTCAGTGGTAGAGTGCTTGCTTTACATGCATGAGGCCCTGGGTTTGATTCCCAGGCCCATATAAGCAAAAAAGAAAAGCCAGAAGTGGCACTGTGGTTCAAGTGGTAGAGCACTAGCCATGAGCTAAAGAGCTGAGGGACAGCGCCCAGACCCAGACTTCAGGCCCCACGACCGGACCCAAAAAAATAAAAATAGCCTCCTTGCCACGCCTACTCTGGTGGAGTCTCTTTAGCATGGAACACCTGCTTTTAGATCTGAGAATGGGTCTCCACAGAAGTCTACCTCAGAGAATGGGGCTTCACAGAAGCCTACCTCTGAGAATGGGAATTCACAGAAGTCTACCTCAGAGAATGGGGCTTCAAAGAGGCCTACCTCCTAAAAAGGCTGGCAAGCCCCTGGGAAAGATGTGTTCCTGTTTTTCTTTTTTTCCCTGTTTAGGAGTGCCTATTAACCTTTTACTGCTCCAGTTGCTTGTTCTCCTTACTCATGTTCAACGTTCCCTTATTTAGGGCTCTTTCTTGGAAGTGTTGACGACTCGAACATCTGATAAGTGTCCTGAGAATATGACTAACTCACCAGAGTTAAGTGCTACCCTGAAAGCCCCTTTTGTGGAGGCTATTGGACAAGTCATAAGTAAATATAAAAGTATTGGGGGTTTCATGACGTCACTTCAGCAGAAGGAATTGTTTGTAAGAAATTTACAAGAAGCTGTAGGCATGGCTAGAGCAGAAAGAGTGTATGGCTATTGGAGACTTCCCTTTAATCCTGGAGCATATACAATAGACTCATATAGATATCCTGTAGACAAGAAAGATGTGGAGGGATATTTAGACCATAAGCTAAATAAGATTCCTAAAAGGTTGGTAGATGGAAGGTGACAATGGGTTATCAGAGGAAAATGGTGGGATCCTCCATTATCTAGAGGACCCCAGAGACTTCCCCCAGATCCATAGTCTTTTACAGGTGTGTATGATAAGGATGGCAACCATTGGGAAAACTACTTAGGAGAAAGAACTTCCTATTACTCTCTTGCATTTACTGAGAGACTTGCTAGATCTAGGCCTCCTTGGTGCTTACTATCAAAAAAGGAACAAGAAAGATCTTATGAGACAGTTAAGGCCTCTATGGAGAAGAGTAAACGATTATGTGAAAGGGTTACAGAGAAGACACTATGAGCTTGAATTAGATATATGGCCAGATTTAACTAAGTATACTGAATATCATGATTTTTGGCCACAAATTGGGGACCCTCTAAAGAATGGCAAAGAAGTACAATTGCTTAGAAAAGATTTGAAACACATAAAGTACAAAACTAAACAAAAGTAACAATAAAGTACTAGAGTTCATGTCTTTCTGTCCAGCACCTTGCCCATATGCTCTGGTTAATGGTTAATAGGTGATAAACATATCGAAACAATTGTATTTCTTAAAAATAGAGGTAAAGCCGAAAACAAGTGCCGATCATCATAGCTCATCATGCAAAAATCAAGATCAGGCGACCAGCTGGTGACCACCCAAGAACGAAGCCTTGCAGCAAAATTGTGTAACCTTTTGCCCTTTCTCATGGAGACTTTTTCTATAAAAGCTTGTTATCCTCTGCAATAAATCACATTCCGCATTCACTCCTCTTGTGTGAGTTGTCTGTTGGCCATTTCCCCACCTATTCCACTTACCTCCACTAGGTGTCCTCCGTCGTCCCGACAGAGCCAGTCCATGGCATGTCCTTAATAAAAGAAAAACACATTCATCTCCCCATGAATAGTTTCTCTGACACATTAGCACCTGAGAATATACCTAGTTCCCCAACTCAGCTTTTTTCTCCCTTTCACCCTGAGGAGTGTCTGAAACTCACCTGAGGAAAACTGTTGGGTCAGTGTAAAGTATTTGGCTCATTTTAAGATCTTCTGGAACACTTATGAAGCAGCTGGGCACCTGTGGTTCACACATGTACTCCTATCTACTCAGAAGGCTGAGATCTGAGGATCATATTTCAAAACCAGCCCAGCTGCAGAAGTCATTGAAATTACTATTTCCAATTCACCCAAAGGCTTGAAGGGAACATGTGGCTCAAGTGATACAGTACTAGTCATGAGCAATCAAGTGTAGGGACAGCACCTAGGCCCTGAGTTCAAGCCCCAGGACCAGCAAAAAAGCAAACAAACATCGAAGCCCTTATTCAGTACCAGAAATAACTCAAGGCATGTAAATACCAATATGTAAAGCTGCTGGGCTTAGGCCACTCATGCTTGCAATTCTGAAAGCTGAAGTTCAATCTTTGAAGCTTGCCTGGGCAAAATGAACAGGGGACTCTTCTCCCCAATTAACCACCATAAAGGTCATAAGTAAAAGATATGTGGCTCAAGTGGTACAGGACTAGCCTTAAGCAAAGAAGATCAAGAACAGCACCTAGGAAATGAGATCAAGTACTAACATTTGCATGTTTGACTGATGTACAGGAATCAATACCATTGTAGTAATTGAACTTCCTTTTGTAATAATGCACACTTTTAAGGAATCCTCTTAAAACAGAAAGATAAGTTTCTATGATAGGGTTGGGAAGCTAGTTCATTTAGTAGTTCCTCTAAACATTTTCCTTCCTTAATAATTAGGAACTCATTTGATTTGAGCACAGTAGTGTATTCATCTGAAATAAATAGAGTAAGCTAGGTATGTTGTAGCAGGTTTATAATTCAAAACATAGTGAAGGAAGACAGGATTTTCACCTCTTTGAGAGCAACATAGGCTACATAGCGAGGCTCTGCTTCATTTGTATATATAAAATATATGTTAATATATACCATACAATATATACATGAGTGTGCAAGTGTGTATATATATGCATGTGTGTATATGTTTATATATTTATATACAAACATAGGTGCATACATATAAAGAAATTTGTTATTCGTAAGGAATATTAATGGTCATGGTTTCTCTACTGATGATGTCAAACCACAGACAGTGTGTTGTTTTCTCATATATGTGTGTGTGTGAATGCCTGAGTTTCCCCAACTAAAACTGAGTCGATGTATATGTATAGAGAGAGAGAGTATGGTCCAAACAGATTGGGACATG